CCACAGTATGAAGAGAATGCTACCTACGTTTTGCGTAACCAAAATGTGTTTTATGACCTTCAATATAAGGATCAACAAATTCAATTTTTTTAAATCTGTTTGAGCTGACACATTAATGAATGGTTCTCTGTGTTATAGCTGTGGCACTGGCAAAATCCGAACTTAAAGCTGTTACTTTTAAGTGCAGATTGCCATTGATCTAATTTGATATTTTATTACTTTTTGAATATTCGAGGCTTAGACTTCGATAGAATTGCTCTTGGAATTCAGTGTGAAATTGAAATAAAAGTTTTTATTTGGTAGCGCGTTTAATGTAAGGTCGATTTGGCCACGGCTAATCTGTCGCTTAAATATTTATTTGTTTGGTTTTAAACTAATATTTATATTTTAAACCCCGATGTACATTAAAAATTAATGGGACGAAATTAATGTTTTGATTGATGGTTTTTTTTTTCTCGAGCTCTTCCTTGTCTAATATGACATAATTTTATCAGACATGTTTGAACTCGTGCGCATATTGCGATCTTCGGCAATAAGCAGAGACTTGGCATTGCTCTTCGCAATTGGGCTCTTAGGCGCGTGCTTGACTACCTTGCCAAGCTTTGAATGTAAATAATACTCTCCTGTTAAAACCGCTAAAACTTGCAATTACATAACTTTAATTTTGAACATAAGTCAGCGTCTGTACATCTGTGAGTTGTGAACCCCTTGTTACAATTGTATCATATGTCAAAGTTGCCACTAAAATGTATTAATTTATTGATCCGACGGTCCCTCTATCCCTCGTTCATTCATGGAAATGAATTCCAAAAAATCTACGAATTCATATTGCATATTTATGATCCAATCAAAGAAACCAAATGTAAAAAATGCACACAATTTATATCAATATAATGTAATCTCTACATATAAATAAAATTGAAGTGTCTGTTTGTAATATTGAAAGAACCGCTTTTTACTACATACATATGAATACATATATGATACATACACCAAAATATATTTTTTTACAATTTTTGTCTGTCTGTTTGTTCCGGCTAATCTTTAGAGCGGCTGGACCGATTTTGACGGGACTTTCACTGACAGGTAGCTGATGATATAATGAGTAACTTAGGCTACTTTTTTTAGACTAGCTTGACCCCGCGGCGTCACCCGCGTTACGCGACAATAATCGTCACCCGCGACAATAACCGCGGGTAACATCGCGGGACTCAACTATCACTAATAAAATTTAATGTTTCCGAAGCGAAGCGAGGGCGGGTCACTAGTTCAAAAATAAATCTAAACAATGTAATTGAATGGTATTAGGTATATAAATCTATTTGCTTAATTATCTACATATTTTGTTTCGAAAAAATAACAGTATTAGATTGCACCTAGAACACACCTCTTCATAGCATACTGTATTTATACATTTGTATATTTATTATGTTCTATAAAGAGGTGTGTTCACGCATACATGTCACCGTATAGGCGCGCGTAGACTTTTATCATTGGTTTTTCAATTTTGCAAACGTATCATGACGATGCTACAATATCAGCTTTGGTAGGTATATATTATAGGAGTAATGTTAAAGCAACTATCAAACTTTCGAATACGTTTTTATTCTTATTTTTAAGAACTAATTTTCCAAAATATACGATTTCCTAATTTGGGGATTTACGTACGCTTGTGAATGTATTTTTTTTTCTGTACCTATTTGCTGGTCGGCGAAGGAGCTATTCCAACTACGCGTGGACTGGTAAGTGAACTCATGGGTTCAATCTTCGAGACCTTGCTAACCCTAGCAAGAGCCGTACTTTGCAGAATCTACTACGGGATCGGAATCGCAGCCCACTGAGAAAATCCGACGAACAATTCAGTGGGTTGAATGCTAACGTATAAGCGAATTATTATCGAAATCAAAATATTTCTAAAACTCTTCTTGAAAATTACCTATCAAAAAAGGTTTTAATAAAACCCGAAGTGTGCAAGCTAATAAAAAAAAAAGTAAAATATATAATAATATTTTAGACACTACACTTTTGCAGATGTTAGTATTCATTGGATGTGGTTACAAATAGGAATGTCGTTCAAGGCTTACTATTGTCTTTGAAATACATTTTTATTGCGTAGATGGATAAAATCGTTACAGAATCACAATGTAAAACCTATGTTGAAATAACCGATTTATAGAAAAACCAAGAGATCACCTAGATTCATTTTCAACTTCAGCACCATCGATGTCCATGCAAAAATCTAGACAAAGGTAAAAGTTGTGTTCCAAGTATAAACTTGTTAAGACTACATCTATACATATAAATAAAATTGGAGTGTCTGTTTGTAATATTGAAATAGCCTCTTTTTGCTACATGCATATGAATATATATACGGTACATACACCAAAATAACAATTTTTACAATTTTTGTCTGTCTGTCTGTCTGTTTGTTCCGGCTAATCTCTGAAACGGCTGGACCGATTTTGACGAGACTTTCACTGATAGGTAGCTGATGATATAAGGAGTAACTTAGGCTACTTTTTTTAGACTAGCTTCGACCCGCGGCTTCACCCGCGGTACGACAATAACCGCGGGTAGCATCGCGGTACTCAGCTATGAACAATAATAAAATTTAATGTGTCCGAAGCGAAGCGAGGGCGGGTTGCTAATAACAAATATGTTTTGTGGGTAGTAAAAAAAGCGATCTGGTTTTGCTCTTTTTCGCGTTTATGACTAAGGTCTACAAATCGCGTTAGACAGTGCTGTTTAAAGCTGTATGTATGAAATACAGAAAGTGAAGTTAAACCTGATGTTTTACAAACTGTATACTGAACGAGGAACGGACCGGCTGCAGTCAGAGCACGCGCTCACATACTGCGCTATTGTCACGACCCCCAATTGAATCGTTACAAACCTAGATGAGTTATGTTCGTTAGCTGAACGTACTACCTACAGGGTGTTCGAATTCAAAATATTCATTAAGCGTGACGTAGTTATTTTCGTACTGTTGCGTCGTAAGTTCAACAGATCGTATGAAGTCGTCGTGGCTTTAGGCGACTTTATCAAGCATAAGACGATCGATGTATTTGTATTGACCGTACCGGTGTTTGAATCCCGCAATTTTTTTTCCTACTTAAGCTGATAGCCTTGAGAGGCTATTTCAACGTAACCTTAACTAGTAGGTGAGCTCACAGGGCTCAAACCGGAGTGATGCTAACACTGACCCTAGCAAGAGCAGTGCTTCGCAGAATCTACCACCGGATCGGAAACGCGCCCGATGAGAAGATCCGGCGAGAAACTCAGTGGGCTGTGTCTATGGGTTAATTCGCTCGTCGAGCCCTTCGTCGCAGGCGAGGGGTCGACGAGGACGATGACCGGTCTTGTGGTACCTAAAAGCACCGTCAATGGATCGGGAGGATCCGTAATGACGTGTTTTGGGTGACGTCGACTATTTACCATTCGGTCTACAGGATCGGGTATATAGTTTCCAGCGGCCACGACAAGAGGATTTTTTCTAATGAAATACGTTTTTAACGCATGCTCACTAATTACTTCCATGGTGTACAAATGACGTCGTGTAATAAAAATTAAGCCCGGAAAAAATATGATTTGAATAATGGCTGATAGGGCGTCTTGTGGGGCCGCACGGGTATGTACCACCAGCCTCCCTATTTCTGCCGCGAAGCTGAAATGCACTTCAGTTTGAAGGGTGGGGATGTTATTGTACTACAGAACTGGCACTTTGAATTCGTGTCTCAAGATGGGTCCCGTCTGGGCGTAATTAATTGGAATAGCCTCTTAGACTACCAGCGAATAGGTAGGGGGGGGGGGAAGGTGGGTGGCTGTAATAAAGTTCTTATACGTGCCACTTAGCACCAGGTGGACCGTGAGCTTATTCAACCTTCTACGCAATAACACTACGTATGCAGTGTATTTTTCACTTATTATAGAACTTAAGCCTCCACATGATTTAGTCTGCCAATTCAAGACTAAGAATAATTTGATCGCTTCATTTAATTTATAACGGAATAGTCACTTTAAAAAAAAAATGTTTGTTAGGTAACGATATTACAGAGAAAAAGAAAACGAATTGTCGATTCAACGACTTTAATTGAATAGTTCTAGCTTTGTCTTCTTTTCCATTTTAAGCTAACAGTTAAAGTTATTATTTAACAAGATCGATTAGGTATCAAGATCGGTGGTGGTTTTTACGTCGTGATATGAATGGAATCGATAAACTTTTAACAACAAGCAGGCCATGACTTCGTTTAATAGTATTTTTAATTTAAGCAATAAATAAAAGTAAAAAAAAGCCAATTACCATTTTTTGCATTATTAATTTAATTTCGTAAAAAAAACATTTGTCGAAAGACCGATGTATTTAAATAAAGATCCATACTCCAAAAATAATAAGCAATTCATTTTATTTTTTAGTCCGTTAAAAACATTCTAAATCATTTGAATTCGCATCACTAAAATGAACCTCCTATATAATTGCAATCTATAAATGCAAGTTGCAGCACAGTGACACACATACGCGGCTTTACACTAAACCAATAATAGAATAAAATCAATCTATACCACCCTCTCTTACGCATACAGTAACACACCAATCAATGATTTTAATGTACCGATGCGCACGCACACTACAAAAACAGTATCGGAGATTTTGCCATTGTAAACATCGATAGAATATTTGCCGAATACACAGCAAAATGCACCGTATCTACCCGTCCTTTTCTTATTTATTACTTCAAACAATCCATGTTCGTGCGAAAACGAGACAGTAAATACGGTTTTACAACTTCGCAAAGGGACAATGGCGACGCTATTGTTGAAAGTACCCCAAACTTTTTTTTTAGGTCAAATAAAAGTATTACATTTGTTAGGGTCGTGCCGCTTTATGCACTTCTGCATTCGTTTCACAGTCTACCTAGGAGACACATCTCCCACGCAGTCCAGTTTAAGTTTTAATTAAGCATAATGTGTTAATTAGTATTCATAGTGCTATCGTTTATATCATGTCCTCGGCAGCTACAACTAACCGTGTGAGTGATATGTGGAACAATTATGTAAATACCAGTGATCCTAATTCAAAACAATCAAAAGTGTATAATTATAAACAATATCCAACGATGGCAAATAATTACTATAATTACCAAAATTATTATCCACATAATGGGTGTTACGGTAATGTGTTAAGTGCTAATTGTAGTGAGAAGCTTTGCGGGACTCCTACAGAAGGTATAGTAAAATCAGAACCGAATTGGCACGGATATTCGGCTAATCTACAAACTGGAAGCAACGGTATGGACGCAATAAAAAAATGGCAAGAAATGAATCAGTATACACAACAGCAATATGGTAACTACAATTATAATCAAACAAACATGCTTTGCAATACTAGTGTAGTTGAAAAGGTTACTGATGTGCGGTCAATGAACTCACCAGGACAATGCAGTATTTCAGAAAACTACGGCTCTCCGCAAAGCGTAACCAGTGATTTTAAATCTATAAGCCCCCTAGGAGATGATTCTCCTCATTTGCGAGCTCTATTGACAAAGCCGAAAACAAAAAGTCAAAATCAACCATATTTTCCGGCATGCGATAATTCCTCTACACGTGAAATTTCGCAGCAAGTTCCATACGTTGAAAATAATAATTGGGAAAAAAATAATGAAACAACATCTGGGAAGGAATGCAATTTGTCGCAATTTCATGGTGGATTCCAAAAAGTTGACGATCAAACGTCAATCAAGAAAGATGCCGTGGGTGGAGCGCCTTCGCCGAACGAAGTCGCACAGTCATCGATGGGTGCCGCGGAGCCTTGTCAGGATACTATGACGAGGGTCCAAGCAGGCGGGGATAATGCGGATTATACTGAGAACAAAATGGCCGCTGCTCCCGAAGTGCAAGCATATTATCCTTGGATGAAAGGAGTCAGTGGTATGTAAACTAAAAAGTTATTTAGAGTTTCAAAAGATGAAATTTAAAAAAGTCATTGAATAATTCGAATGTTATGTTTTTTTTTTTTCAGGGGATACTAAAAAGGAAGGTTCAAAAAGAACAAGACAGACTTACACCAGATTTCAAACACTAGAGTTGGAAAAAGAGTTTCACTTCAATAAATACTTATCTAGACGACGAAGGATCGAAGTGTCACATGCATTAGGATTGACAGAACGTCAAATCAAGATTTGGTTCCAGAATCGGAGAATGAAAGCGAAGAAAGACGGAAAACTTACCACTTCGCCGGAACCCTTCGCTTTAGATGATATCGGTGCTACGAAGTTAGGTAACAATGTATCTGAATACATAGATCCGCGGCAACAAATTGGTTTGCCAGAATATCCCAATTATCATGCCGGTTCGGTGCAACCAAATATAGGTCACATACCGGAAAATATGTCACATTGCATGATGCCGCCATATGGCGGAATGCTACCGAAGATGTGACCGCAAAAGCACAACATAATTGCTGCTTAAAAGCAACATTAATTTCAGTTGATTCAATCAGTTAAGTGACCGGTTTAATACTATTATTAATTTTTTTTTAATGTTTACATAATATATTTAACAAGCACATATTTATCGGCTTAATACTAAAACAGTGTAAAGATTTTCGTGGTTTATAAATTAACTTTACTTTTATGCATTAATGTTCGTTGGATACTCACTCTAACAGTGTGTTTTTTTGTTTCTAAAATTGTTTAAATCTAAAGCATGGAAAATTACAAAAAATCCACAATGCTTTGAAAAACCGAATGTCACTGATAACATTTATTAAATAATTAATTTGGAATTCCGAAATAAAACCAGTGGACAAAGAAAAAAATACTAAGGTTTTAGAATAAGTTCAATTTAGATATGAATATGAAAATCATTGTAAATATTAATATTATGTTGAAATAAAACATAGTTCCTATTTAGTTGAAATCATCAACATAAGCACATATAATACATAATCAGTATAGGTAATTAAGATTGATTCTTTAAGACTTATTTGTCAATTGTCTAGTCAAATAAAAGGCGCTATAAATACAAAGGAGTTTTGAATTGCTACTTTCCAGTACTTTCTTTTTACAAGTTTTCCGTAAAGTTAACAGGTGTCGTGAAGTTAATGGCCAAAGTGAATAAAAGCCTACAAAACAGTTGAAGCAGAAGACTGGATGTGTACTAATTTCAAAGGCAACCATCACAAGCTTCTTATATCTGTTTTAATAAAGTAATAAAACCGGGGAAAATATACCACGAGATGTTACCTCAGCAAATAAAAGTATCTTGGATTACAATTTAAAAAAAAACCTAAAAATTATGTCTCAGTCATAACAAGGCTTCGTTCTGGATATATACCTAACTAGCATTTAGATTTTGTTTTTTGGGCTAAAGCACAACCCTGTATTGTCACCATCATAGTATGGTGGGTATGCCCAAATCCATATATAGTGGTAACATTCATGCGTGCTAGTATTTTAGTATTTAGTTTTTAAAAACTAAAGATTTTAAATCCTTGAATGTGTTTTTAATTTAACTTTTAATAATTAGGAGCTCTGAGATTCTGATATTGCCAAACAACAAAAATTACTGTGGAGTGGTTATCTTAACTCAATTTATGACATTATTTAAAAACAATAAAAAAAGCTTTATGTAATCCAAAAATGATCCGTTTAAAATTAACACAAGCAAACAAAATCGCAATCGTTTAACAATGACTAACCCTTCAATGAAAGGGACGAATTTTTAAATACTGTTAGCTTGCCTTTAGGGACTTTTGTCGGCAAACAGATTTGAAAATTTGACATGTTTTGACTAGGAATAGGAAGCCGCTTTCGAAAATTTTGATGAGTAATCCTTCTTGGCTACCTGTTTTCTTTAATATATAGATGGAATTGATTTTTTTGTTAGCATGTTGTGATTTTGCTAACAAGATTATAATGAGCTTACGGAACCATTATTTCTTTTTTTGCTTTGAAAGCCAAATAAAGCTTTTTTATTTCATGTATAGACAATGACGGAGCTCATGGCCAAATTGGTATTAAATGATTTTCGAAATCGATAAATAGTACGACGAGGATACCGGATAAGGAGAGTTCCTTGAGACATGAGTCCGGGCTTACAGTTAATACGCTCAACAAGAAGTAATTACGCATTTTTTTTTGAGTCTGATTTTTATCTTACGATGCTATCTCTTTATTGTAGAAGTGGTTAATGAACATGTGCTAAGTACGGATTTTATTAATTGTTAGAACTACGGTTTTGTCGCCTCGTTCGATACTAGCACACCGGGCGATTTTTAGTTGTCTATAGACGATAGACGATAGATAATACCATCGCGTCTACTTTGGCAGCAAAGCAATTCCAGCATTAGGTTTAAAGGTTTTAAACGAGCCGTTATTCAATCTCTCATGTGCCAAGATGGTCTCTCAAGGTGGTGGCAAACACGTTATAATGTGTATGAACCAGGGGTACTGAGAGCTTCTATACTCAACTAGAGCAAATGAAGAAAACATTGCCGGTTGCTTACTAACAGGAAATAGGATGTCTAACTTCCGACCGCAACAAATTGTATTCTTCTAAACAATATTTATAAAACGCTAATAATAATAATAAGTATACAAATATTTTTTTAATAATAAACGTTATAACGTGATACATATTAAAAATATTTTTCGTAGTTCGTCTCATACTTAAATCATTAATTATCAAAAAATAAACAAAATGTAACATAATTCGAAATGTAACTAACTTCATACTAGTTCACACGTAAAACTCCCTTACATTTAAAAGTCGACCCTTCTGCCTTTTCAATAGAGAATAACAATAGGCATCCTAAAAAAAAGACAACCTATAGCACAACCCATGTGGGTGAAAGAGACAAAAAACTGTCATCCCTTTGCAAAGGGTAAGTCACTGATACGCACGCGCGGCGGCCATTCAACCAAGATGGCTGCTTGTGTTCAGATCATATTTTGTTTAATATTGTTTAATTTTGCTTCATATCTGATGAAATATAGTATAAATTTGACAATATTTCGATAATGTTTTGAATAACTCAATTATATTAATTAGATCGTTACAAAACTGAAAAAACAACCATCATTCTAATAAAATAGACGAGGTAAGTAAATACTTTTTTTGATCCCAAAAATTATTTTCTGCAATACAGTAAAATTACAGATATACACAATCACAGTTTCGTATTGTTATTTTTCATTTTAAATGGTTTTATAAGAGATTTAGTTACCGTGCTAGTAGAAGATACAGAGTAGAAGAAGAAGCAATGTTTTCTGAAGTAATTTATGAAGGAAGGAAAACATAGGTGTTAACATTGTCCGTCTACTAAAGGAATGCGTTTGTGATAGAACTTTGTAACTTTGAAGTAGCGTTGAATTTAGGTATATTTTTATTATTTGCCCTGCTAAATATAATAATAATAATATAAATAATAAATAATTATAATAATAAAATTGGATCTTTCTGTCAACTTAAGTAAATTTTATAATTTTGAGCTAAGTAAATTTAAGTTAAATCGATCATATTATATCGACCGATCGCTACAAGAGCCCTCATATAATAAAACAAATAGTATTAAAAAAATACATTTCTTACTTTATTTTAAATATTCTTTCCAAACTGAAACGAACATGCGATATTTCTACAACAATAATTTACACACCTCATCATCATTAACAAATCATTAATCAAATCAAAACGTTTCTTATGACTCATCTAAGATAAAAGATGACGTGTATTAACTACGCTCTACATACAGGCTGTTATGAAAATTAATGAATCAAATTAACTTTTCCTAGTACAATTGACAATATTCACTTATTTGTAAAATTGCACAAAGAGACCAATAATCCGTATATTTGCAGAAATTTTGACCTAAAGAAGATGGGATGACGGGATGATCTTGATTGACCTTGGGATGACGTAGCTTATAGCTTTCTCTGGTAAAAATGTGAAATCGTACACATTTGAAAACATTATTAGAATACATTACATAATAAACTGTTTCGACGAATATCTTCCACAGAATCGCGAGATATTTATATAAAAAGTTTAACTTATTTTAATAGATATGCAGAACAACTAACGTGGAAATAAACTTTAAGAAATTAAAGATACCGTTGACCGTTTTACTTTGAAAGTGACTTGACTACACTATGCAAACGGATTGCCAATACTAAGATTGATTCGTGTTGAATAGAAAAGAAATAAATACCCCAATCAAAATGATATTTGTGGCTTTTTGACCAGATATTTGTATAGTACGAATGTTATGTTTTCTATAGGTCAGAAGTATTGTTGTAATAGGTAATGGACGAGATTAACTCATGCATTGGGGACACAAAAAAAACCACCTTTATTCTGCGCATACTTATAATAGGGTGATTGATACCCTATAATAAGTAAGGAAAACTAAAAACTTTTTTTTTTCTCAACAGTTCATTTATAAAAAAACCAAATTAGATACCTGTAATCACGAACGTCACACTTCTAGTTATTAGTAATTATATCCTCATAATATAAAACTTTGAAAACACCCTAATAAAACCAAACAACGCTTGCTACTACTAAAACAAAGCATAGCCGTTAACAGCTTAACATTAATGACTAATTTATTTGAACGTATGAATCGTCGACTGTACACGTAACGTTGTCCGTTCATACATTGAATCGTTGAATGGTAAACCTAATTAATCGAGCTTCGAAGGAACCTGTGTGCTCATTGAAATTGTATCAAAAGAAACCTTCTAATGGATATTTGAATTCCATAGTATTTGGATTTATATCTACTAATGCATTTATGTTAGGGCTTGGCTACATCTGTACAAGGCTGTACAGCAATATCACCTCGATGCGACAAGGCCTCACGACATTACGACTTAGTACTATTAATAAGAGGCGCAACGTTCTCTTTCACTGTGTTGCCATGTCTTATACAATAAAGGATCTAAAGTTTAAAATCCCATTTTATTTTTATCAATATCCACTCCTTTTTTAAAGAAACAGTTTCTTTCTGTTCAAGCATTTCTATCGAGTTTTGAAAGCGCAACACAGTGAAGATCCTTTTATATTTTATGCCATCTTCATCGTTGTCATGTAGCCATGCCTTTACAGACTTAATAAGCATTAAATTGACGGGTTGAATTAATTTGTTTTTTGAATATGTGGACCACAGAAGTTGGCCTTAAATTATTGGTAATTAATTGTGACTAAGTTGATATTGTCAATTCGAATTTTTACGCCCTTTGCATATGAACGTCAAGTGCCGCTTTAATCTCGGGAATACTGATTCCAGAATAAAGCATGCCATGCACGATACATTCATTTAATTAATTCAATTAATTGAAACAAAATAGGTCTAAATCTATTGTCAGATAAATTCATCATCCGCTGATGTTGAAGAGTGTTTGAATCCCACAAACAACAGAATATCGAGGTTGACA